ATGACCGTACGTTGTATTCGGGGGAAGACTGTAGGCCCATTGGCAATGGATTCAAACCTGTCTCTTATACACATCTAGATGTGTATAAGAGACAGGTGTGTGTGTGTGTGTGTGTTTTCTTCCCCTTCCTTCAAAATTAGATAAATATAGTAAATTCTCCATGCATCATGATGCATGTATTGTATGGAGAATGTACTATATTTATCTAACACCATCAACACAGAGTTTTGGGTGCCATCATTGCACACAACTCCAACAACGACTCCCTACAACAAGTACTACCAACATCATTTCCCACGTAATTCTCGATTAGGATTAGCATTGTGGCCTCACCTTTTTTTTTTTTTTTTTTTTTTCCCTCAGCGTCGTTCTCAGAGCAGTGAATGAAGTCCTTTTGAATCAGCACCACAACCAATGAGGCAAGCCTTTAGGGGGAGTTGTTGTGGGGGGAGGGAGAGGAACTGGCATAAGAGTAAGTAAGCCAGTTCAGAAGAAAGGGTATAAGTGTAAACGTGATCCAATTCAAAAGGGGTAGCAGTGTAAGCAAGTCTATTCAGAGGAAGGGGCATATGTGTAAAAGTAAGCCAATGCAGAAGAAGGGGTCTAAATGCAAAACGTAATCCAATTCAGAAGGGGTAGCACTGTCAGCAAGTCAATTCAGAAGGGGTAGCACTGTCAGCAAGTCAATTCAGAAGGGGCATATGTGTGGAAGTAAGCCAATTCAGAAGGGGCATATGTGTGGAAGTAAGCCAATTCAGAAGAAGGGGCATATGTGTAAGAGTAAGCCGATTCGGAAGGGGTATATGTGTAAATTAAGCCAATTCAGGCCTTATAAGGGGCTGTTTTTTTTAGCAGGTGCAGCGGACGAGGAGGCCAACAGGGGGCAAACCAGGAATACATGTGTAAAAGTAAGCCGATTCGCAAGGGATATCTGTGTAAAAGTAAGCCATTCATTTTGGATTGTTAGGCTTTTTGGCATTGTTGATGCTTTATTTATTGGCTACTGTCAGCATCATCGAGAACGTACCGCGTGCTGCTCTTCCATTAGGAATTCAGTCAGTTGAAGTGTGAGAATCGAAGATTTAGGTTATGGAAAGCCTTCGGCCTTACGTGGTTTACAAATAGGCGGTCTTATTATAACGAAGACAAGATTAGTGATGCAACTCCAACGCCACATAACGGATGTCGTCCTCCTAAGAAAGGCCGCGAATAGATTGGAGCCTTGTTCCCATTAAAAAAAAAAAAAAAGAAAGAAAGAAAGAAAGGCCGTGTATAATATCGTATCATCGCTTCTGAGGGTTGGCAGGGTTGCGGATGGTCAGGACAGCGGTCGTGTGTTGGCCAATTCTGTACCTGGACCTAAACTGGGTAATGGTGCCAACGCCTGCACCTAAAC